TATATATATATGTTATGGAAACGGACTTTTTGTTCCATACTGCAACTATATATATATACATACATATATATGTACATATAGATGCATGTGTGTGTATAAATATACACACATGCACAGACACACACACATATTTGCAAATGTACTAAAATATTCGATAGATAGATAGATAGATAGATAGATAGATAGATAGATAGATAGATAGATAGACAGACAGACAGATATGCATACATCCATGCGTGCAAATATATATACATAAGGGCCTATGTCAATATCTCTATGGCTTAATCATGACAAAAGTGTTCAACAAATTTGTATTTTTCCTACATAATTTCATTTATTGTCCATGCACATAATCGATCACTTCCTCATAGATTACGTAAATTGAACAGTGCATAGTATTAGTTTCTGCTATACGCAGCTACAGATTTATCTACAAGTTTCATATTCTCACTTCTGAGAACAGCAGAAGACCAAATTGAAGATAGGTAAGACTGTGCTACGCCTATCTTCCAAGCTAAGGAGAGCTTGATTACCATGAAATCAAGCATTGGAAGTCTAGCTTTTTGTCTGGATTCGAACGCTCTCACATTAGCGTGCGACATAAATATGTGCACTGTAAATATTCAATAAAAAAAAAAAATTCTGTTGCTAGATTAATGTCCGTTCTTCAAACTACTTGCTTCCTTTTTCGTTGACAGATTTCTCCTGCCGACTGCGTTTTCCCAGCCAGCAATTTCATTTTCGCCCTCATCTAAATTTCTCTCTCTTTCTCTTTCTCATTACCATCGTGGGCGCACTTTACAGCATTCATATGCAAATGTCTAACTTTGTCCACTCATTTTATTGCTTTAAATCAATAAACACTATTAAAACAATGCTACTGAAATCAGGCGAGGAACAATTTAGATAAAAGGCACATAAATAAAACTACAAACAAACAAGCAATTAGACACAAGCAAAACAATTGAAATATGATCTGATGTTCAACGCAAATGTGGACGAAGAGGGCATATTTCAAGCTAAGTTTGGGGTCAGATTCTTTTTTTCTTTTATTTCGTGTTTGTTCACCGAACTTCTCGAAATATCTCTGACTTGTTAGCTAGACTTATATTGTCCGTAATCGCCTCACCATTTATTATTGTAATTATGTTTCATTATCAGAAACTTATTTAATGAATAAGGACGAATAAAGGAAGAGAAGTAAAAACTGTGTGTGTATGTATGTATGCATGTATGTATGTATCTGTGTATCTATGTATCTATGTATTTATCTATGTCTGTACGATATCTATATCAGTCTGTTCATGTATATCTATCTATCGATCTGTCTATATGAGTCTGTTCATTAACACTCTATCTTAATTTGCGCATTATCTATCTATCTATCTATCTATCTATCTATCTATCTATCTATCTATGTCATTCCATTATCTATCTATCTATCTATCTATCTATCTATCTATCCTGTCTATCTATCTATGTCATTCCATTATCTATCTATCTATCTATCCATATCTTCATCTATCTATCTATCATCTATCTATCTATCATTATCATTATCTATCTATCTATCTATCTATCTATCTATCTATCTATCTATCTCATTCCATTATCTATCTATCTATCTATCTATCTATCTATCTATCCATCATGTCATTCCATTATCTATCCATCTATCTATCCATCTATCCATCCATTATCCATCCATCTATCTATCCATCTATCTACCCATCCATCCATCTATGTCATCCAAATCTATCCCATCTATCTATCTATCCACCCATCTATCTATCCATCCATCTATCTATCTATCTATCTATCATCTATCCATCCAGTCATTCCATTTATCCATCTATCTATCTATCTATCCTATCCATCCATCTATCTATCTATCATCCATCTATCATTCCATTATCCATCTATCTATCCATCTCCATCTATCTATCTATCCATCTATCTATCCATATCCCATCTATCTATCTATCCATCTATCTATCCATCATATCTATCTATCATCTATTCATCTCAGTCATTCCATTATCTATCTATCTATCTATCTATCATCTATCTATCTATTCTATCATCCATCTATCTATCTATCTATCCCAGTCATTCCATTATCTATCTATCTATCTATCTATCTATCTATCCATTCATCCATCTGTCCATCTATGTCATTCCATTATCATTCATTCCATCCATCCATCTATCCATCCATCTATCCTCAGTCATTCCATTTATTCATTCATCTATCTATCTATCTATCTATCTATCTATCATCCATCTATCTCAGTCATTCCATTATCTATCTATCTATCTATCTATCTATCTATCTATCTTTCTATCTATCTATCTATCTATGTCATTCCATTATCTATCTATCTATCTATCTATCTATCTATCTATCTCAGTCATTCCATTATCTATCTATCTATCTATCTATCTATCTATCTATCTATCTATCTATCTATGTCATTCCATTATCTATCTATCTATCTAT